TTCCGGGGCGGGGGGGGGGTGAATAAAGGCTTCCGCATTCGTCACTTCTCACCGGACCTTACGCTACGTCCTGCGTCATCCGCCGGAATGAACGCGCGTAGGACAGTTAGCGGAAGCTAGAGATCACAGTTTAGAAAGTTTTAAATATGGATATTTTTCTTACAAAAACGCATTGATTCGCTTCAGGAGCCGGAGCCATGTGGGACACTTTTTATTATGGATGGATGTGCTTTATTGGACTTCTTTTGGACTGTTGAAAAAAAACACCCACTCACTGCCATTATAAAGCTTGGAAGAGCCAGGATATTTTTTTATATAACTCCGATTGGATTCGTCTGAAAGAAGAAAGTCATATACACCTAGGATGGCTTGAGGGTGAATAAATTATGGGGTAATTTTCATTTTTGGGTGAACTATCCCTATTAAGGGAATTTGAGTGAGTTGCGTGAATCGATAAAATGTTTATTACAAGAAATTCAGACACAATAAAAGAGTGCATCTCCCTTTTTTTCCAGCTCTCAGAGACCAAACTCGGATGTCAGCAGACATCACAAGGACGAAAACTTTATAACAAATGCATGGCGTAGTATGGTCAGTGTATGTGTGTCATTAGCGTGTAAGTGTGTGTATCTGTATACTTTATCAAACATTTGACCTTGTCATTCTTAGACCGCAGCGTTCCATCAGATATCAGAGAATGAAGCGAGAGATTCCAGCCATCCTCAGTCATTTCTCGGCCAACAGAGAATGTCTGCTGCTCTCAGGAGGGTCCAGCTCTGCAAGGATAAACCAAGATAAAACGATGAACTTTGTTCCATATTAGGAGTCCTATACAGGGCATTGGTTAGTTAGACACAAAGTCATTGGCTCCACCTGCTGGACACTGAATGCGTTTACATGCACAATTATGCTAATAGACTGTAGTCATTATACATACACTTAGTAAAATATACAGATAAATAATGTCAGAGAATAACTTCACTCTCTAAACAAACCAAGTTTTTCCAGATTGTGTATTGTCCTCTGGTATTATTTGATCAACATAAATCATCACATTTCAATCTTCTGCAAACACACACGTGTGAGATTCCTTATTTTTGTTGTTTGTACAACAGTCTTATAGCTTTTTTTAAATTCATATATGGTGAGACTTTGTTTTATTTGAAGTGCAAAACACCCAATGATTTTTAGAGTGTTTTTGTCTTTCTTTAGCAATAGCCAATTATTACAAGCCAAAAATGGATTTGTTGTTTGGATTGTTGAATTATAATGGAAAATTTAGTTTGGTCCTCGTGAAGTGATTAATTTGTAATAAGCATTATGTGGCTCAGTCCAAAATCAAAGTTGCAAATAAATGGCAGTTCAAGTTCAAATCTGGAGAAATATTTACATCATGTGGTAAATCCTTTTCTTACATCAAGGAAGTCCCTTTGTTGCCTGTTCCCCTTGGGAAAGTTTTTTCCCCCAAAGGGATTATTAAAGGTCGTAAATATGATTCAGACTACTTGCCATGCACACTAAAGATAGGAAACACTTAACACTTGAGCTCAACATCTGACTGTTTGAACTTCAGGTGAGCAAGAGCTTCAGTAGGCCTACCCGTGAGAAAGAAACCAATTATTTAGCCATAAACACGCAAGTAAGTGATTATTGTGCACAATGTTTTTTCATTGTGACATTAAGAACAATTTCGTAACCGTATTACTATTAATGTTCTTGTTTTACTATCTTGGTTAATTTAGCCCATGCGTTTTTTTGTGTGTGTGTGTTTTTTTTTTTGTATAACTAATAAATAAATAAATACACAAGCCTACCTCTACATAGCCTATACACATAGGCTACACAAGACCGCATCAATCGATGATGCTTAAGTTGTAAAATAAAAATGTACTGACATTGTAAAAAAATAAATGCGAAAAAGCACACAACAGCAAAGCTTTTCCGTTCCCACGGCGTGATAAAGAGATGAGATGAAAGGTGCACTTGTCACTACCCCACGAAAACTCACCTGTCACTCACAGCCACTACTCGGACAGGTACAAGCTATATTCACCCCTATAATAAAACAATGATGACCAGTCATGAAAGAACCCGCTGAGAGTAGGCCTATATAATTGTCGTCGGCTCTGGCTTCATGTCCACAACGACAGCAAGGTGACCATACGGAACCTTGAACCACGAGATTTGACAAAAAAAAACAAAACTTTTTTCTGCGACTATTTCTTGAGCGACAGTGGAGGAAAAGAAATCAATTCCCGAGTATAGTTTGTAATATTCTCCAATTCTGCAAAATGACGTTTCAAATCAGCTCTTTTATTCTGTTGTCAGTGGTCACTTTGGTTGGCGCTTTTCCTCGCAGCGACTTTCACCGACACGTCGCGAAAGATTTAGAATTTTCCGGGAATGGACCAGACGAACCTATTCGGGGATCTGTCAGAGTTGTCAAACTCAGCCCTCATTTTCTGCGACGGGCCGCCGGTAGTCACGTGCAGTCCAAAAACTCACCACGTCGAGGCGCGTTTCCTGCCTTTTTGGCCCTAGGACGTCCCGGTCCGTCAGTCCTGGCCCCTAACAAACCTGCGGCCCTGCTCCCTCAGGTGAGCGCGAGCAGCACCAGTGTAGACGCCAGGAGAAAACAGGGTCTGGAGATGTGGCAGAAAGTGATGCACAAAAGCGAGCGAAGCAAAGAGGCCGTGGCGCTACGCATCAATCCCAAAGACATGACCAAACAGAGCTGTGCCGCAGTGCCCTTCGCACAGGTATGATTTTTATTTTTCAAGTCAATGTCAGACGCGTTTTATTTATAATTAATTGAAGGTTGAAGGTTCTGTGATATACACGACTTGATTATACTGTATTAGCTACACAGGTGGTCGAGATTTTCTTATATATATTTTCTTATATAGGCTATATTGTTATAACAAATTATACATTATTAATGAAGTGCTGCCCTATTTGGTATCCACTATGAAAATATAAACTTAAATTTAACTGCTGTCTTCAAAAATTTAAGTAAAATAATATAGTGTCAAACCTTTAGTGATAGCCTACGTTCATTGCAGTTGTTTGACCACATTGAAATAGCCTAAATGAAAATCGAAATAAAAAAATCAAAATAAAAAACGCGTAACAATTACAGAAGTCATCGGCGTTTAATAAATTGTCATTTAATGGATAGATAGGCCTACATCCAGTAATATTGCTAAAACATAACGATGCAAACATCGTGACCAAAGGGAAAATATAAACAAGAGAATTTAGGCTATAAACAAAAAAACACTAAACATTAGCCTATATGTTAAGAATGACAATTGAACTGATCATATTTTACAGTTTAATTGGAAACGGACTTGTCTGAAACAGCTTGCCATCGCTTAAATGGGTATTAGGCCTACATTTATTTGTTAGTGTTCGTTTAGCCTATTGTTTGTTTTTGTGCTATATTTTTTAAAGTGACTTTCTGTTCACAGCGCGTAACAGAGGGCGGCTGTGAGACGGTGACCGTTCACAATAACCTCTGCTACGGTCAGTGCAGCTCCATGTTCGTCCCCTCCAGCGGAGAGTCTCCTGGACAGCAAGGAGCCCAGTGCACGCGATGCGGGCCCTCTAAATCGCGCTCCGTGCTTGTGCCCCTGCGCTGCGGGACAGAGGTGCGCGAGAAGCGCGTCGTGGTCGTTGAGGAGTGCAAATGCGAAACTAGTAGTGAAGAGGTCAAAGTTCAGAACACGGAAATGTTTCATTTATAACAGGCATTTTAAAGTTTTTATTTTAAGCGTTCTAATATTTAAGTGCACTAACGGTGTGTGTATTTGAGGATTACGAAGCCACATACATGTGGAAGATTTGTGTTGCGTGTCTGATGAGTGACCGAAATAGATTCGGTTCAGAATGTAAAATAGTTCTGTGAACTGCCGTCTGATATTCAGCGGTATCTGCGTGTTAATTGTAATGACGATGCAGCACTTGAGTCTACATTTTTGAAGAATCCAGGAGTTTTATGGTTACGTGTCATTTCATAGCTTCACCGATAACTGTCGCTGTTGCATGAAAATGATTTCAGCATTTTTTAAACTTTAGTTTACTCTGTTGTTTACATAAAGAATAATGTGAATTGAGGTAAATTGAACCACATTGCAATGGCTGTCAAAAGTGGCCCGGTTTCTTGACTACACAACATTAATCTTGCGGATAAAAGTATATTTGTTGTATTTTGTTGAGATGTGGGCCTATTTGAGTCTGGTGGCATTATCAGAGAATTTAGTTCTTAAATTTTCGAAGAAAAAATATAATTCGTTAAACTGTACAAAGCAACAAATAGGCCTACCACACAAAGTGGAGACGTAGCTATAAAATGAAAAAGGTGCTAAATCAATAAAACATCTTGAAAAAAAAAACATACGCTTGGATGTGTTTGTTTAAATGCCTCCTAATTCATTTTTATTCATATACAACAGCAAACTGCAACCACAAACTACAGAATATGTATGTAGGCTATGTATGTATTCTGTTCTTTGTATTTTATGTATTGTCTGCTATTATATAAGAACTTATTATTGGAAATTCATTAACCAATGGGTTCTATATAGGCTATCTAATCTGGGCTATAGCCTAGAAAATATGGATTGATCGTCATTCAGCTTAGTTAAACAATATAAGCATGAACCTGATTTGCTGCTTTAATGAGACTATCGTTTAACATCAAAATGCACTTTAAGTGTTGTTACTCTGTTGCTGCCTAATCGCTCTTTTCAATACTGTGGGAATCACCGTCTCCCTATAGGACAGCTGCACTTCAGCCCTGAGCGTGTCAGAGGAAAATAGAAGTTTTATTCTTCGATTTTCTGGCACCTGGCTGGGAAAAAAGGTCGAGTTTACTCATCCCATATGAAAAATCGCCCGAGGGAGAACAAGGGGGTGCTTTAACATGGCCTTGGCAGTCAGTCAAAATCGCTTTTTACTGCAATTTGCATTGCGCGCGGGACGAGCCCCCCTCCACTGACTCCTCGCTTTTGTTGTGGATTTTACGAGCAGTTCTGGTCTGTGCAGTGGTTAATGAGGTCAATTTAAGTAAATTAATCATTTATCTAATCCAAAGTGGTTCCTCGTGCAACACATGTGGAGCTTTTTACATAAGTAGCGAAAACGCTTTAGAGGGCGCTGTTGCCATGGCAGCGCTGAACGAGGCGGAGGCGTTTTCCTGATTTGGGTTCGCACGCGCGCCAAGAACCAGAGCATCGGGAAATCTAAGCACCGTCGGTAAACTCGTTAAAGGTAGAAATGACAACAACGCGAACCCCCGAGCTGCCTAGTATTTGTGCAAGGTTGAGCGAGCAAAGAACTGCGGGAAAATACGCAAGAGAAACGCGCCATCAAAGCTGCATTAGAGGAAAGTAGTGTGTGGTTAGTTCGATCGCTTGATCGCCTGGTTGATATTGCAACCAGGGGTGGCATATTGGGGTGATAGGCAACTAGGGAAAATTTGGTTAAAGCATTACAGCGAAACAAGCTTTTTAGATTCGAAGCTGATATTAATAGAGCACGAACAGCAGTAGCCCACAACTTGTCACTAAGCCCATTTTATTGTGTTCGTTAAGCCTGGTTTAATATGCAGTCGCCCCACACATGCCCAGCACTGCATATCTCCTGAGAGTGGACCAGTTGGACTTTTGCATATTGAACCTTTTTAATAACGTGGCACTGATTGAGGCCTTTGAAATGCGGACATGGGTCTGAAGCCGGTCCATGGGTGGATTGGTTGGACCTGACAGCTCTAAGCATGGTGAGAGGGGCCACGTTCCTGCATGCCTCAGGGTCTTTAGTGTGAAATGCCAGGGTAAACTTAGAGATGGTACGGTTGCAATGACATGGATGTGGCATGGATGCCTAGGAGCAGCTGGGCAAGGTTGGCACATGATTGCCATTGGGAGTTTGTGCCGCAGGGCACCACCAGCTTCCAGTGCTTCAGTTGAATCCTACAGTTCTTCATTACAATTGTACACTGAGTTGCCTTCAATTCACGTCCAACCTGCCATATACAAAACCCAAAGCAGCTGTATATAAGAGCACACAGGGC